ATAAATTTAATATAAATAAATCTTTCAAAAATGTTAATATACTAGTTTGTATCTCTGTTGAATATGACATTACGTTCATGTCTATAATAATATAATTTATATGAGATGTGTATATATATATATATATATGAATATTTAAAAAAAATAAAATTCAATAGCTAATATAAATACTGTATTGACTTGTGACAAAATATGAATAATTTTTATAAACAAACTGCCATTTTATTTGACTACAGTTATTGAAGTATTCCAAAATACAACCATGATCCAATTAAAACTACGAATATTTGTCTTCAATGCATTAAAAGGTTTCGTTTCCCTGAAGGGACTATCATTACAAATGGGATGATAGTCCACACGCGTCAGAGAAAAGGGCTTCACTCGTACTGAATTCTCCGGGATGTGGACAGCGTCCCATGGGAATACTCATAATAAGAGTCATCTAGGGCATGCAATATGTTAGAAAGGGAATTAGGTAAACTTTTCACGAAACAGAATTGAGAGTTTTCATTTGAATGAACTGTAACGGAAGTCGAGTTAAATTTGCATCGCAATAAGAGAGGGTAGTGAATTGCAATGTAGGATTTTTATTATATACTTTCCTACTGATTGTGAATTATACTATTGAAATGCTAAATTATAATACTTTTTCCTAAAAATTATTTTAATGGAGAAAAAAAAATGAATAATGCAAAGGTTTAGAACAAATATTTTAAGCTCTTTCTATCTTCTTATTTTTAAATTGCTAAATAAAATATCTTTTTTCATTAAGAAACAAGATTTTGTAATGTAACCTACTTTTTCTAAAATAATTTTTAGATAATTTTTTTTTTTTAGAAAATTGCTTGCTACAATTTGAAAATTAATTGTCTTCCAAATTTGTTTCTTTCTCGGAAGAGTTTTTGAATATCTTTTTCCAGATTACCTAAACTACGAATTATATCAAAGCTTCTTTTTAGCAAAGTTTTTTTTTTTTACTTACAATACTATTTTTGATCTACAATTTCGATATCGTGAGTTTTATTGTTTTCAATAAAATTGAACCGTTATATCTTTTTCTCTGAAAAATAAATCATAATCAATCAAAAATATTTGCTCATGATTTCAGTCGGCGCTGATTTTTGATTCGATTATGAATTCAACATTTATGTTAATGGGGACTATCGTGCGCGATTGCGGCCTATGCAAATTGCACGGCCCCTATAAGACTCGCCTTCTCCGCTCGTAGAAGCTATCGATCAAACTAAAAATATTTCAGTCCGATAGTCAACTGACGTAGATGCCCGCTGACTTAAAAATACTATGTAACTATTAATAATACAATGCAAAAATCTGCGTTGTTTATCCACTTTATGCCTTTCTCTTTATGTATTGTATCATCCGCACGCTACATTAGTTCTCACCACAGAAGCCGAATTTTCCTCGACAAGCGTTGCAAATAAAAGTTTCAAACATTTTTTTAAATTTGATAAATAACACTTTTAAAATTGTTTTATAAGTTGCTTTAATTAAATTTGTTGCTACAAAAGGAATACACGTGCATGTATGGTAAAAGACAAAACTTTTTAAAAGCATGAAAAAAATAAAAAAAACTCTTTTGATAGCATATTATTGGATGTTTTTTTAATAAATAAAATACAGGCCAAACATTTCTAGCGAACGCCTGTTATACTTTAATACAATTACTTTAGTGGAAAGAGTGATTTAACCTTTTTAATCATATCGTAAAAGAGTTGGCGTCTGCAGTTGACATAAAAGTGACCGGTTCGATCATGCGAAGTAACAAAAATAAATACATGAAAAAATAACTGATGCATTATCACGATTGCTCAAAACGTGTCGCTAATGCCGTGCACGAAATGGTTAGTTATCTGTCGATCAAATTGGCAACCATTTTTTTTTTACTTGTTTTATGATGAAAGTGATTATCGATTAGCATATCGTGCAACCTTCAGCAAACCGCAGTGCTTGTGAAGTTTCATTGAAAACAATACGCGAAATGCGCCGGTAATAATTCCAGTTCGTTGCGATGACGATTCTCCGTTCCTGTGGGTGGACTTTTTTCATCGTGAGTGACGTCCCAATTGTTGCGAACAATTGCGCATTGTCGGCATCAACCGACACGTTTATCCTTGAGCTAAAGTAGCTTTGAAGAATATCTTGTTATAATTAAACTCATTGATGTTCGAACAAGCATTTAATGCAGCACATTATAATGATTTTGTGTATTTCGCGCTTGTATTTCAAATTTAATCTTGCATCCACATGAGAAAATATATCTGTTAAACAATTTCGCCAAAGTGTCATACATTTAAATATATCATTGATGAAAGATGTCCACATATAACAGCTAATATCTTTATTTAAAGAAATATTACAAGTACATTTTTTAACGAAATGGAAAATTCATGAACAAAATACAGATTTTCCTGTATTATATTTGAAAATAATACAAAAAGTTTGTGGCTGTAATGTTTATATGAAAAGTATAAATTTTCAATTACAATCACTTTTTGCAGAAATTGTACTTCTAATATATCTAATATATATTAAGATGTTTAAGAATTAATCTAATGTATTTTTTTTTAATATATGTAGTTAGAACAATATTAGAATAAAAAGAAAAATATGCGTCTCTTCTTCTTTCTGTAAAATCTATACGGTAATAACTTTAGAATGAAAGAAATGTAAACATTATTTCACGTCACAAATTCGCCCTGTTATTTCCGAGAATTCATTTGGCGGCGTATTTTGTCATTTACGACAATTTGCGACATATTATGACATTCGCGTGCTTCAACCTACTTTGTAGGGAAGCGTCGAAGACGGTCCATAATAAAGTGCCTTTGCGTAGACACGCTCCCTAGCAACGTCCCTGCGCTCATCGACATCGATTTCTCATGTCAATAAATTCACACGTAGAATCACTGGCAGGACGAGCGAGATAACACTCTTGCATCCAATGAAAGAGTTCGTGGTATCTCGATGCCCAGAAAACGGCCTGCTAACGACCTAGGCTGTCTTTTTCTTGCTGCTCTTTTGATAAAACTCGTCTGATTGCGTGTTCAAGTTCTTATCGAGAACATATCTCTCTGTATTGACTTAGGATTCTTCAAGTTTTTTTCTGAACGATGAAATAGTACTTTTATATAATAAGATGATTAACGGAATGTCTGTAAATAATTACATAAAAATATATTTATACATTTTATTGATATTATCAAGTTGAACAAATTAAGTACTTTTATATAACAAAATTATTAACAGAATGTTTATGAATAATTGTAAAAATATACATATTTTATTAATTATTATATTATATTATCAATCAAATTAAACACATTGATTTTTATTTATTTTCATCAACTAATTGTAAGTACTAAAATGATAAAAACGTTCTATTTTCGTTGTGACAATTTTGACATTTTTAGCATTTTCAGGATACTTTTGACTTTTTTTTGTGAATTGTCAGTCAAATATTGTGTAAACAATTAAGAAATAATGAAACAATTAATTATTCATTTTCTACACCTAATGTGTAGTGACCATAATTTATAAAACAATTTTAATATTTTAACGTATTTCTAATTATTAAAATAATTTTCCTGCATTTAATTAAATATCTATTGTTAAAGCTCATGCAAAAAACAGAAAGAGTGTTAAAAATTTATTTTTTACTTCTACAACAAAAGACAAAATAAAATAATATAATAAAAGACATAAATAAAATAAAAATTTTATCAAACCACCGGTGAAAAATATATTTGAATTAAGTATTTTTTAATTTATTCAAGTATATCGTTTTTTACATAAAATAATATAAATAATATAAATTTTTTTATTACAAAATCATTTTTATTATTATAGAAAATTTATAATAAAACAAACATTTTATTTTATTTATGTTTTGTCTTTTGTTGTAGAAGTAAAAAATTAATTGTATAAAAACACAATTTACAAATAATTTCTGATAAAGAAGGTATTTAATTATTTATTTCCTTGGAATACTATTAATACCATAAGTATATGTTCGTATGTGTAAAAATCAATACACCGGACATTTCCGTGAATACAATGCAAATGTACAAGGGAGATATACTTGCAGATATAAAAAAGAATAAGCTATTTGTGCGTCCAAGTATATTTAATTCTTGAAGTGTATTTAATTCGCGTAGATAAACATACATGCACGGTTTTTGTTATCGCCTTGTAACAACAGTTATTGAAACAAACCGATTTTCAGCCCTTAAATCTCTTGACTACCACTCTTTTGATTACTTAGTTTGAGTTCACTCTTAAAATAAGCTTATTTATTTTGATCTTACTTAAGAGCACTGACCGATGTTTAAATATCTCAGCTTTTTCTTTTATAAAAAGATCAGAAGAATAGAAGAATAGAAGATATATCATGCCATG